AGGTTTCTATGGCTACAGCCTACAGGTAAGTTATCTAACATTTTTTTTTATTTCATGTTCAGCAGTTGAGTTACACACATCTAATGTAACGTTATAGTCAAGCGATTATACCTTGAATTTCATGTAATTTGTAATTAAATTAGCTCTTTCCGAGTATGTCGATGATTTAGATCCATTTTTTTACAATATTGGTAATCAAATTTAAAAACTGATCACTTTGAATGTCAACTTTGTCAGCATAGTTTTTACTAACACAATGAGATACCTAAAAATATTAAATTAACATTAGCAATAAAATTCATTCAATAAGTAATTAAACTCATTTTATAAGACCAAATCAATATTTAAAAATTATCAATATTTCAGTCAAGAATTGAAGTGTTATTGACTTATATGATAAGTACCTAATTTCTAAAATTTTGAAAATCTTAATTACCATAATCAACGATACTTCGGTTTCAAACGCACATGTGTTGCTTAATACCACTTTTTCTAATATATTTTGGGCTTTGCCTAGGAGTAGTCAATATTTATAAAAATAAAACTTCCTGTCCGAGTGAATAATATTCGTTTACGTTTAACTATGTCGTTGTACGTGTAAAAAAACAAATGGAAATACGATAGATATGCTACTTAACGTATTATTGTGTATAGGTGCTGTTAGAATATTTGATTATAATACCAAATATATAGTTAGGTTTATGTATAGCTATATATAGGAACATAATATGGAATAAGCATGAGGACACGAGAACAGAGTAATCAAGAATATTTTTTTACTTCATGAAAACTTTGTTTTAGAAGTACTCGGCTGTTTTAATGTACAACATACATATTAGTTATAATTTATAACTTACTATTAAATGATCGTAGATTCTCTTTTTAATAAAAAAATTTAATAGTGTATATTTATTGTATTTTCATAAGAGCGTATAGAGTGAAAACTCCTGTATCTCTTATTTGGAAAAGTGTAAGTAAAAAAATTACTAATAATTGAGGAGCGTTCAAAAGATATGATAAAGGGGGAATGGGGGCGAAGCCCCCGCGTGTCTATTTTATATATACTGTCCAGCCCCCCCAAATATTGAAATTGCGCCCGTGGTTATAATTTTATAAATTATATTTGTTGTATAAAATAATAATTTATAGAATTGTTCCTCGTATGTATATCTAAGGTATGTCAAAACTATAATATAACCAAGTAAAACTTTTGCTTACGGTAAATATAAGCAGTTGTATGTACACATTTGTAGGTAGGTACATGTGGCAAATACCCCCTCCCCCTGTGCTTCAAACTAAATTATATTTCTTATACCAAACGTGTAAGTTTTATGTTAAAATCAAAAGTTCGTTACACCACTGTCCCTATCCTGGTTGAAATCCTAGCTACCTCCTGGGAAGGCATATAATTTTAAATTATATTTTAAAAACATAAATTGCCTTAAAACATTTGTATTGTGAATATTTTTTGCCATGAGTTTGTGATGTGCTTACCATGTGACATAAAATCTCCTTCAATAGAATATATTTTGAAGGTTTTTCAACCATACTCGTAGAGTACATACATGTTTTCTTTTGCAAGAATTACTAATTTTTTGCCGTTTTGAAGTATCGTCACTTATTGACTGAGGTCAAAAAAAGATTTATCTATATATTATATATTGATCGGGCATTTTGACCCAGAGTATAAGCTTTTGCACTATACTTTTTTATATCACAACGCCACGTATTTTCATTTTTTTTTTTAGATCTATAATGTTTAAAAATTTAAATCACTTAAAACTAATAGTTTTTTGCCTTATCACTGAATATAAATCATTTTCGCTCATTGTAATTTTTTATATGCTGAGTATAAACGGATATTTACGGATATACGAATTTCTCGAACAATACTAACTCAACTGTTAAGAGAAATTAATCGACGTACAATTGTTTGTGTATAGTAATAAGTTATAAGATTATCAAACCTATAATCAGGTTTTCTATATTATTTTTATTAGTACTGAAAAGTCATAATAAGTTTTGTGTCAAAAATCGAATTCAGATGTTAGCTTTATCAATGAGCTATCGTCATACTCTATTAAATGCCAGGTTTTTCTACCGTATAATGTATATATTTTTATTATTTTATATTATCATTACTCATTCATTTATAAAATTTATATTTAATAATATACGTTTGAACTTTTTTTCCTAATTTTTTTCTGCCATGTAGGGACTTACACATCATTTTTATATTCATGTAGGAATTAACACATCACGTTTATAAGAAATTATATAATTGTTTACCAGCTACTCTTGTGTAGGAACTTATCGTCTCCCCTTATGTCACCTGGTGTAAGTGAGTTGCGGCTCATTCCCTAATAATAACTTAAGAACTGTAGCCCGCGTTAATGTGAGGTACGTACGAATTGCGGCCATACATTAATGTATATATTACATGTATATTGTATATATATATATATATATAATAAATATAGATCTATATAATTGGAAACTATTTAAAATTGAATTTAATGTGTTATCTTTTATATTATTATATTAATTAATAAGTTATATTGATTAATAATAACTATATTTTAAAGAGAAATTTAGATTATAGTCTACAATACAATAGTGCGGAAACAGCAAAAATTGTACAGATCAGACTATGGGATGTTCCACAAATATTATGCAATGCAAATCGAACATTTGAGCTAAGAGGTTTCATAGGTTTTTTACCTGGACAAAGAAAATTAAGAAATTCAGTTGGATATTACAAAGCATACATGAAGTGAGGATCAATGAATAATTGGGAAATATTTGATAATCTTAAAAAAATCCTATACCCATAAAATGTAAATTGTGAATTTTATTTTATACAATTTTTAATGTCAATTTTTTTTCATTAGTAAGATTTTAATTACATGTGAGAAAAGGGTAATTTTTATGTAATAAAATTAATTTTAAAAAGTTTAAACCTATGTATAAAAATTAAAAAGTAATTTCAATGTTTATCAAATCATAAAAATATTAAAATGTAAAAGAATTTAATGATGTCATTTAATTGGAAAATCGTACAAAAATTTACAAAGATGGTATAATTAAAAATTAACCTATTTTAAGTTTAACAACTATTTGGATTTATGAAATAAATTATAAAATGTGGAGGCGGTTATAGAAAAATGTTTATAATAAACAAATCGATAGCCGAGAAAATATATGCTTATTATATGCTAAATAATGTTATGACTCACAATGTAGATCATAACAATACAAGGCAAATACAAAAGTAATAATTTTGAAATATTATCAATCAAAATCGCATTTACACATATTCTGTTTAAAAAAATATAATTATTTAAAAACGATTGAGTGTTATTCTACTTTAGGAATATGATATCATTCAGTTATGCAAATATACATGCAAGCACTTTTTTAATTTCAAGTATTTTGTGTAGTGGAGGGGGAGACTGGGGACACGTGTAAATTAGGAAAACAAATTTTGCGAACAACAGATGACAATAGAGTTGCAAAACCAACTGTGTAAATACATACTAATTAGTAATAACATGATAATTATTGGCCTAGAAAAAAAATTTGAAAATAAGTGATTTTGATGTGTGGGGGTTAGAGACACGTGTCTACAGCTCCCCCTTACCTATTTTTTGATACCATGCTTAATTAAAAAACATGCAAATTACAAAAGTTAGCATGTAAATACAAGCTCATTATATGATAAATATTTTTTAAAAAATAATTTGTGGAGGGAGGCTGGGGACATATAAGTAAAATAATGGATTATACAATAAACAAAATTAATCAACACAATTTCGTTAAATTTTTAAGTTTCAGAAATGAACCTTATAAAATTTTATAAAAAATCGCATTATGGAATTTTTATTTTATATTATTTATATCTATTTATTTATGAAATGTATGAGGCATAATACACCAATTATTGTATTATTTTTTTAAAATTTTTTTTTAATCAGATTGAGTAGGTTACATTTAATAATGAATTATAGTTTAATAATAAATATGAAATTTGAACTTATTATTTGTAAGACTTATATATGCATATACATTTTTTCTGCCGCATACACACCTTTTTTACCGAGTAGGAACTTACATACTTGTATGCACCTGTTTCTATCATGTAGGAACTTGCATTTGCCTGGCACAAGAATACGATAACGAATTTTACAAATTATACACAAACATTCATTTGTACTCATTTCAAAAAGTAATAAAGCTCATAAATGTTGTATGAAATGCCTAAATATTACTCCTTAAAATATGTCATGCTTCAGCCCTAACTTAATTATAGAACTTTTACTGCAATACATAAAAATTATTAATATAATAAAACATTAAATTGGGCATTTAACAATTTATTATAATATAAAGTAATTATAAATTTTACTAAAATATTGAACTATGTATACAATTAAAAAATATAAGACTTTTATAATTTATTTAGTTTTTGTTTTTGAAGTTAGTGTATCAATATATTTAGTACAATATTCTATTATTTTAATTTAATATCATATCTATACATATTTATGATTTAAAAAATTAAAATAGCACTGTTCAAAAATAATTACTTAAATTAAAATCTTATAACACAAAACAAGTAATTGGCTATTAAACTATTACTATAAATTAATAATGTATAAATAGGTATTTAAAATGTAAAGAATATTTTTTAAATAAAACATAATATTCAATTTGTTGAAAAAGACCTTATATATATATATAAAAAAATTTAAAAATAATAACTTCTAACCTATAGGTAGATGATTAATTTTCATACTCATAGCTAGACACAAATGATCATAGTTTTAAAAAAATAATATTTTATTCTTAAAAACGAATTTCCTTAAACTGTGAACAATATTTAATATTTACTGAGAAATTTGGTAGAAATGTAAAAATCATAAATGTACTGTCATTTCTGACCATTATATTATATTTATGCTAAAGAGTCGCTTCTAATAATTATATTTATAAATATTATGTATAGCAACAGGATTATATAAATTTATATGTAATATATTATGTACAATAAAATGACAATTTTTTCTTTAAATGAGTAGTGAAAATGTCTGTCGAGTATACTCGAGCACACAAACACACATATATTCGAGGAACAAAATAATTTATATATATTTATAATTATAATAATTGTTTTGAACGAGACATGAAGACAATTATGGACTGTAAAAATATTTCAATTACTATTATAGTGCCACGTCGGCAGGTGCTGTTTTAAAACTAGCTCTCCGTTTGGGATTCCGGCGCAATGTGCCTAGAACATTCATCATCTCGTTGACAACTGGCTGCGGTTCTTGTTTTTTGACCAGAGTTTGTTTCTAAAACAAGAAAAAAGAACATAATATTATCAAATTCCAAAATTCAAATATTACATAACATTATTTTATTTTTATTACGGATCGAATTTTTACCTCCTTGTCTGTGGCTTTCAGACTGAAACGACCTCCTTTTATCTGGTTGATTATTGCATCAATGGCACCTGTAGTATAACAAAACAACATTATAAATCATGATTGATTATTATTTAATATTTTAGATATCTATAAAAACTATCTTTTTTTCCCCGTTACGTGTCATTATTATGATACCTGCATGGCCGCACATCTGTGTACTGTGGTACTGCAAGTTTACACATGTTACTTACCGTTCTGGACTTGAGGGCCTTTGGGAGTAGCTAGTGGCAGTCCCAAGTAATTCCCTAAATCTTCAATGGCATTAGAGTTATGGTTCAGCGAGCTAACCGTTTTCAACTTGATGCCGCTGGTCGTCCCCGGCAACGCCATCAGTGGAGGTGGTGGTGGTGGTGGTGGTGCCGGTGGAGCTGGTGGTGGTAGTGGAGGTTTGCACTGGGATGTTGCAACTACAGTTTTAGTTTCTCGAAGTTGTTTCTCAAGATCTTCAACTAAAACATAGATAAAATGTATATTTTTTGCTACTCTCTGACAATTTGAAAAACATTTTGTAAATCACAACAAAAAGAAGTTCACACAAGGTTTGTGTCATAAGTGTTAATGGTATGTAATAAAAGTGAATCATCAGTCATAACTGAATAACACATTTTTTCCATCAATTTTTTTTATAGTAGATTTTTGTCACTATAATATTATTTGGAAAAAAGCTTTGATAAATGCCTCCAAAATATAAATTTATTTTTATTAGTGTCATTATCACTACTCTGAAATCATCTTTCTATCGTTAATGATAATTTTTTTTTTTTTTTTTTGGTATTGAACGTGTGAGGCTGTGAGAGGTAAACAAAATATATAGACAATCTTAGTATAGCACCTTTAAAAAAATCTGCATTATAAATTGCCTGATATGCTATATAAAATATTAGAAGAACAATAGCTATATTTGATAATAATTATTAAACTGTATGGAATAAAAGAAATATTTTACTATATTTTTATTATTAAATTAGAATTAAAGATTTTACTTTGTAATAAATTATTAATTGCCTTAAGAATTTTCTATTAATTATTAAACAATATATATACCCCGAGATTCAGCAATGTCAACTCTCTGCTGAGAACATAGTAATTCTGCTTCGATTAACTTTAACTTCTCTTCGTACAATTCAATTTGTTCAGATTCACTTTGAGATTCCAACTTTTCCTGCAAAAATAATTTGTTTTTTTTTTTTAAAAAACACAATTAATACAATGACATATCCAAGTACTCACATGTAAATCTTTTAACTGTTCGATATGCTCTTGCCTCTCTTGGTTAAGTGTTCTTTGCAATTGTTCTATCTCAAACAAAAGTTTCATAATCTTTTCATCCGATGCAGCATCCATCATCAACAATTGGCTTTGCCTGGCAAGTACATCTCTTTCAGACTTTACCTGTAATCCAATTGATTAAACCAATTTCATAATTTATTATTTTAAAATTAACTGACTTTATTTGCATCACTTCGTATCTTTACGCCTTCTTCTTTTTCTCTCTTATACTGTTGGTGTAACACAGTTGTCTCTTCAACTACTTTACGGCTAACTGATTCCAAATTGTTGTGTTTCATTTTCAATTCCTTAAAACACATAAAAAAAATAATAAAAAATTGTTTAGTGATAATTGATTTTTGAAAAACTACAACAAATATTCAAATCGAAAGAGTTTAAAAGCATTGTCAGTTTTAAGTGTAAAGTTACATAGTAATATAAACAGAAAACAGAAGACCATTATACAATTTTATGAAATAATATACACGGGTATAATATTTACTAATTATTAATTAGTAATTACTTTCAGTTCTTGTTCAGCACGATTTCGCGCCCTACGCTCTTCCTCTAATTCAGAAGTCAAGTCTACTGTCTGCTCTTGGGCTTCAAACTCTTGTAATTTTATTTTATTTAATTCTGCTTGTAGCCTCGAAACTTCTTGAGTAAGCTCTGCAAATAAATTACACACATTTCATACGTATTATTGTTATTAAACAAATTTCTTTACCTTTGACAGTTTTCCGCAGTTCTTCTATTTCGATGTCGTTGTTGTCCGTATCGTTTTCATTACCATCCGTGTCGTCTGCTAAATCATCCAACGAGGACGGTGCCACGGACATTACTTTTTGCATTAACGCCGAGCTCCTTCTTTTTAGTTCACGATTTTGCTTATACCACTATATTGAAACAGGAATGTTTCAATTAAAATCTAATTGGAATAAATATGAGCGGTTGATTAACGTTTAATTGTGTTATTTACCTGCGAAGCTCGTTCCATCGCCTTTTGCAACGTAGTTGTCTCGAGTTCGTATTGTTGTTTTAATTGGTCGTATTCCTTGTACATTGCTTCTGAAACTATATTTATACGCACAAAATAAAATTTTTCTGACAAGAACCAAGCACTCGATACTAAACAATATTACTGTATACGCACGATTCCTTAGTTGAGAGAGTTGCAAGGTCTTTTCCGATAAATCTTTATTCGACAATTCGAGATTGGTTCGCAGCTTCGCCACTTGACGTTCCATGTCCGACTTTTCTCTCAACACTACATAATAAACAATCATTAATGTCGATTTATTTCATATCAGGACGATATGAACGAATAATATAACTTTTATACAATTTGATATTATGTAATCAGCGTTTTATAAGGAGTTTATAATAAAAGTAATTTTTAACTTTTCTGAAAATGTATTTAATTACCAATCAAAATATATCGGAGATGGTGTTATATCATAATAATTGTTGATTTTAGCGTAATTCTTACGATATTATAAATACAATTATAGTAAAACTCGCTTAAGACGCTCTTTAAAGGACCCGCTCTCTAAAACGTTTTAAGCGGGAAAGCGTCTTATGCAGAAATAAAAAAAAAAACGAATTGATTGAAATATGGAATTAATTATTTTAATATTGAATATTAAAAAAATGATCTATTTTTGTTTGCTTACGATTCTGACAATGCGTTTCAGCAAGAAAGTTTTCTATTTTGTTAAGACAACTCAACATTTCTTCGAAATTTTCTACTGAGGATAATATTTTTCGAATTTCAGATAGGTGTTGCAAACCACTTAGTAAATCTTATAATATAACGGAGTACAGTAAAACTGTTATAATATGTAATGATAAAATAGGTATAGCGATAAAATAAAATGATAAGAACAAGCAAACAAGTAAAATTTCTATTTTTATTTTCACAAAACTACTAAAAATTATTGTAATCTGCTGAACAAAAGAGCATTTTATCCGATGAGATAGAGAAAATCTGAGCGTCTTAACAGGTGGTTTTTACATTGACTAGTATAGGAAATGTCTAAGGACCGATAAAAAATAGTATCTTATGCGATAAAGCGTTTTAAGCGAATTTTACTGTAATTAAAACATCTACGTACAATATTTCGTCTAATGCATTTTATATAGCTGAAACAGTTTATTATAAAATCTAAGAATTTTTGCGTATCTCATATCAACATTCTGATATGTTAAATATATATTTTGTTATATTCAATTTTTTTTAACTATATTTTTTGTATCATGTATCCATTTTATTTCTATAATTTCTCTAAAACAGTTATAGCTGATTTGTGTCACTGTAATTATGTACCGAAAATCGATAAGATGTCCTCTTAAAATAGATTTTATTGAGTTCAAAAAGAAGAAGGGGCGGATAAAAACTAACGTTTTTGAGACTGAATCAAAAGACTCTTTCGCTTTGTTTCCGTTTCGTCGTATTTGTTCTTCCATCTATCCTCGGAGGTTGGTACAGGACTGATGTTGCTATTTAGGACCGGTGAAGATTTGACAGATAACCTAGGTGGAGTACTGTCCGGCAGCAGCGGCGGAAGTATCGGTTTGGCACCGATTGGTTTGGGCGGATGCACAGGAGCGGTTGGAGACTTTAATGACGATTTCACCTCACCAAATGACAATTTTGTTGTGCAGCTTTCCTGAGAGGACTTGACCGCAAGTTTCGACGCAACTTCCGCCGTCGGTGACGACTTACAGGCGATGAACCGATTGTGCACCGGCACCTGTACCGCAGCTATCGGCTTACTTCCATTACCGGTCGAACCACTGTTCCTCGTCATCTCACTCGCTAAATAACTTTGCAGAAAACTGTTGTTCTTGGTCGCCACCGGCTTGTTACTACAGTCTTCCGGTGCATCCGGCTCCTCGCGAATCGTCTTGAACCGTCCACTGCCACCGTTTTGCATCTGATAATTCAATATTTGGTGGTGATGGTGTTTGTTGTTATTATTGTTTTGAGTGGAATCGGATTTTCCATAACTCAACCCTGGTGGGTTGTATGGAACTGATCCGTTGTTCTGGCTGAACTTGTTCCGAAGATTTTGCACACTCATTATGGACGAGTTGTGTTCTTATCGTCGTCTAAAATGTCTAAAAAATAAAACAATTTAATTTTATTATAAGTTTAAACAGCATTTGAAGATTAAAATATTTTTTAAATTGATATAAAATGTTTTAGTAAATGCTGCAGCAATTATTGAAAATAATTGTATGTGACAATTTGACTAGTCTGTGTAATATAATTCATACATATAATAAGTATATAGATAGTTGTTTTCGAAATAAACAAATAAAATTGCTAAAAAATTTTAACATTTTAAAATACCGTCTTAGTTTAATATTATATCTTTAATGTGAAAGTAAACTCTATGTCAACATAATAATTAAATTACTTATTACATTAATTATTATACAATAATGTAAATTATGAAAATTTTTGAAACACAATAAAAATCACCTTTGTGATTATAAATGAAATAAAAAATTTGCTTGATCAAATTAACAATTGGCTTACCATATGGTATTAGATTAAAATGATTAAATTGGTCGAATCTTGAAACTAATGAAACGTTTATAGATGTGATTTTTATAATACTTTATCGAAAATTCAACAACTATTTTAATGAGCGAGCTACGATATAAATTGGATCATATTATTCCTATATAAGTAGTACATGGCACTATTTTCGTCATTTGTGACAATTAACTAACATAATATCATAATTAATAATATTATTCGTGTATATGAATACCTAAATAATGTATATAAGCTGTATAATACTTGTACGGGCAAACCGTTTCGTTATTTATTGATGACATTTCTCTATAACGGTGACACCATTTGCAAAATTAACTCATGTAAATTTAAAAAAATACAAATTTTTACCCTAGTTATGGTAAATATTTGTTATATATGTATTTAATATTGTGATTTATGTTTAAGTTTGAAAAATATAATAGTATACAAGTATAGTATATTATATGATAATCACTACACTCGTACGCTCGTTCGATCAAGGTTCGAAATTTTTAAGTCAAAATGTGAGCGTCATTATTGTTTAATACTGTAATGTAAATAAATGCAACCATAAGTACGTGGTCGTACAATTTTTAATAAATAATGTTGCGCAATACGTATGTTGAATAGATTTAGTTGAATAATGTTTTGTATAATACTTAATTTAATAAACATCTAAAATGGCTATTCGGCAAACAATATTAGGTAGATATATATGTATCACTGTAACTGTAGGTTTTTATGACACGTGCCTAATTTACCGACTATTATCATCACAGAACATAACGTAACTTTAAATAGAATAATTATAATATGAGTTATAGATACCTAGATGCATTTCGAAATTATTTTGTGTTTTGTTTTAAAAATGTATACTACATCGGAAATGTTCCGCCCACCTACGAATGATTCTATTTATTATGTTTTGTGTCAAATCTAAATCTAAAATTGAATAAACATTAAAAAGTTATAATGATTATAATTTATAAAATCCACAAGAATCTAATTTTATATTTACAAAAAACTAGAAACTCCTAAATAAGAAAAACATTTTAAAAGAAAAAAATTTTAAAAACTATTATTTTTTTCAGTTTATAAATTATGTAACAGTAGGTATTATTAATATTTATACACCGAAATTATTTTAATTATTCAAAATTTTAAGCACTTCATATTATTTTATATAATTTTATTTTAGTTTGTAACGTAGCTATAGTATAACATTGTATTATTAATATTGAATAGTTTTTGTCTAAAAAAAAATTTAATTGAATTCCCGAAAAAAATTAAACATATTCAGAAATTATTAAATTGGCAACGTAGCCTATAAAAACGTTCGCAATCATTTTTTTTCGGCTAAAAAAACAAATTTTTTGATAAGCAACATTCGTTCGTGATCGTGTTATAAAAAAGGTAAAACGTTCGCAATCGTTTTTGACTCAGTGGATCAATAGGTTTTCTGCAGATTTTTATCAGCAATGGGCGCGTGAACCCAATCGTTACTTTTATAGAATATTATTATTTTCATCCTAATGGAAAATCAATACGCATTTTATTTTTATTTACGTGAAGAATCCCACCACTTATTAATTACCATAGGCATATGTCTGTTTTTTTTTTTTTTTTTAATCAAGATATAAAGTCATGATCCTTCGAGTAAAGAGAGTCCATGAATGTTTGCAATACTTTAGGTATCGGGAACAAACTTTAAAAAAAATTTATTAAGAAGTGATGGGAAAAATTAAAACATATAATAATGAATATAATTTGATCATTATACAAGTAATGAGTAATATCGAGATAAACTACAACACTACATTAACGCAATGGGTTCATTGATATCCAAAATAAAAGGAACAATAATAATATACACTAGAACAATTTTTATATCAATCAATGGAAAAATAAGATATATCGAAATTTTAATTTTTAAAAAGCACGTTTTATTATATACGTTTTTACGTGAATCTATATAAAACGCAAAAAGAAGTAAAAAACATCAACAACGAATAACATAATGATATTATCTACATGGTGATGTTATATAAATGCATAATTATTTGCAACTGAATAACAGGGCAGGCACGTAACTATATCTAAATCAAAGTAATAAATTCATCGCGGCATAAATAAGCTTTTGTAGCCAGAATACCGCAGGCTATCATTATAATATATGCATTGCACAACTTTTAGAAATAGCGGAAATAATAAAGGTACGATTTTTCTGCAGCGTTCAGCCGCGGCGTCGAACGCTGTACTATTGAACATATGTATTTTAAATGTATAGCCGTTTTCTTATGCACGTTCGTCGCTGCGTCTTGAACATTTGACGCGGCGTCTGGCGACTGCATTGGTCTCGAACCAATGTACCGAATCGAACACCAGCGACACGTGTTGCATCTAGACGTTGCGGCTGAACGCTACAGAGAAAACGTACCTTAAAACAAGAATTGTACTTAGAATAATAAGTGGGAATTTTTAAAAACTCGATTTTGCAGAGGAGTTCAGGGCAATATTGATGTCGCATTGTTTATTGATATCTAATACTGATACCAAGACCGCACTGATTTATTAACGCATTACAGAAAAAAAGCCAAACAATAAATTACTTCTTAACTTATTTAAAGAAGATAAATATTAGTGTTACAATATATATACACGATACATTGTCATGGTCCACGCTGTGTTATTCGTCGTCGTTGTTATTGTTGTTAGATACAGTGATGGAATAGTAAAGGGAAAACGTGCATTCATATAAATTATAATACTATTATGTGTACTGTATGTACATAATATTATAGTCGTGTCGACATCGCGTATAAAAACACCTGTGGTTTTCTATTACGAATATATGTATTATAGCATACGGTACTGCTATTGTAAGAAAATATCGCTGACCGTGTGCCAATTATATTTATGTTTTATTTTTTTTATTTTCAAAAACGTTTACGAACTGCAAAATCATTTACGGCGACCGAATAACTCCGGAAGAACGTCTGTCTGTAATACAAGTACGTACATGGTATTGATTAAGTATTTCGAATATGTATATTTGTATAATTACCTTGAAACCATTACCAGTGCCACTGAGTAAACTATCGTAAGTAGGTATTGTTAATTTAATAGTATACACGTATATAATATACGTCGCAGTCTCGCCGACCGAGGAATATTCCGATATTCACATTGAATCGTGCTGAAACGTAAAAATTATTATGATTTACCGACCGGTCTGACAAATAACACTGCCAATAATTCATTCCGTAAAAACTATACTATGACTATTATTGTAATGCGTCTAAGACAAACGATTTTTTTTCTTGTTATGGGTGTGGAACTGTAGAAACGTTGTATAAAATATATAACCTTTTCTTTGTTCGGGGGCCACATGGGTTCACGCAACATACTCTATTGACATTTTGATCGACATATAATCATAAAAATATACACGTCGCTATATATATATATATATGGCTTTATTGTCATTTATATCAAATAAAAAGCTTGTCTAATTTAACATAATAGGTGTTGAAGACATTTTTGGTTTTGTACTTGGAAAATCATTTGACCTTTGTAGAGGGAAGTCTGACAGTGTTCCATTGTGAATTACCTATTACTTTCAAGTATAAAGTTAGGTATACATCTTTCTTCGTCACCCGAACTGGTAATTTTTTGAAATTTTACAAGTTGAGTAGAGTACTAGGGTCGAAAATCTTGTACTAAAAGATCACGTGTAAAAGAAAAATGCTATTTGTACGACATGTATTCAGTGGCGTATTTAATTTAATTTTATGGGGGGGATACTAAATTTACGAGCATTATACACTAGTTCAGTAGAATATTTTTTTATATATATGCTTATGTTCTTGAATACATATACCTACTAGCATTGGCGCTCATTGGGGGGGGGGAGGCAAGACAGGGTACTTGCCCCCCCTGGAAAAAAATATTACCACAATATTACCTTATTACCGAGGTAAATCATTTGTTGAAATCACTTTTAAGATATGAAATAAATATAAAAATATACTCATTGTTATTGTATAATAACATCATAGATAGGTCGTATTCTGTAGTCCGTATAACCTATATGTAAAATTATTAATCGCAGATAATTTGTGGTAAATCTATAAAGATCACAATATAGGTACTACCATTGATTATAGAATATAGAATAATATATTATAGAATATAAAATAATATATTATAGAATATTCTATAATCAAAGGTACTACAAATATTTTAACCTAATGCAAACAAGGATACTTTCATTCAGGATGTCATTAATATGTTTGGAATAAAACGAAGAAATTTGCAGTTCTTATTTACTGATACCGAATAATATACTTATTAAAATTATTATTTATTTATTTATTTATTTATTCGTATGGCAATTATTATTTATTAATTTATTTATTCATATGGCAATTATTATATATTTATTTATTTATTTATTTGTATGGCAATTATTATTAATACACTATATATATATACAAATAAAAATATAACATGCATGTATAGTGTATACATTTATATGTGAAAAATAACATTAAATCTTTATTATCTTACATTCGAAAATGTTTTTATTTTGACCCCCCTTAAAATATTACCTATGGGCGCCCATGCCTACTAGTCCATTTTATACTTGCATCTTTTACACATTGCACATCTTTAGAAAGGTAAATAAAATACAATCAAGTTACAGTAGAATAATATTATATTTATTAAATTATAAAATCAATATTTCTTTTTTTCATTTGTAAGAATTTATCAATAAAGTTTAGTATAGCAATTAATTAATGATACGTCGGATTTTAATGATAAAGTTATCGATGTTTTTATTAATATGAAAGATGGATGCGTAGATCTTACTTATAAAAATATGACTGATTAACATTTTAAATGTAATATTTTCTTAATATAAATTTATAATAAATACAAGCAAATAACATGGGCAATGGTGGGGGGCGATCGCCCTCCATCCCCCCTCAAATACGCCACTGCATGTATTTTAGATGTGTAGTTATAAAATACATAGACCATTCGCGAAGGTAGCGATCTTTCTATACATCTAATTCTAAATAGCAATAATGTATCATTGTGTATAGCAGAAAATTGCAGTGTAGTTAGTAGTTATGAAAATACTAGGTATGATAGATAAAATAACTAATAATTAATAAAATACTTGGGTGGTCACTGATCAGAAATCAGTTTTACCGAAGATTCTATATTAATAGACACATAAACATATAAACTGTGTAGGTACAAATTTGAAATCTTCAATAGTAAGGGCAAAATGTGTACCTAATAAATTGTGAAGGTTTACATGGTGTACTAACGATTATTTTTTAAAATAGTTATAATATTATTTAATTGTGTCAACACTTCGAACCTTTTGTAAGATTGTAGGAATAATTATTTAAAACGCCTACTTCAGTGTTTTTAACTTTTTAAATTTTAGTATTATTATCTAGCATGGTTTAGTTATACTTGTTTTCAATTTTTAATATTTAAAATATATTTGTAATTATTTTCTTTAATCTTCAATAATCTATAAGTAAAACAAACCATTTAACAATAATAACTAATATTAAAATCTAATATTTAAAATGTTTCTCTTTTGTAATGTCTAGCTATATAATACACCTAAGAAATAAGTAGCACGTGCAAGTACAAGATTAAGCATTTCATGATTATCGATAATATATTAAATAACTGTGGAAAACAACTTATTTTGTTAGGAAACTGCAGTTTGCGAATTATTATTCTTCTGCGTCGAATTCATTGTGTTAGGACTGTCTGTGTTAAAATACAATATAAAAAATACACACACGCACATTTTATAATAATTGATGTACTCGTACAGACAGTCGTGATCGTACTAAAATAAACGACCGTATGGGTACAAAATATAGGTAAAAAAAATATAAATATAATAAACGTAATGTATTATGCAAATTAGATGGAAAGACGTGCGCGACGTCTCGTAAATCGTCGCGGGATATCACCATATGTTCTTTACGTGGGCGTATAATATATATATATATATATTATATCCGAGTTACATATTATAATCATATGAAAACCAAAATCCCGGCGTGGGCGATATATTTGAAGAATGCGTTCTTACAATATCTAGTATCCACGTATATACTCGTATAATCTTGGGCCGAGATAAGTTAAAACGGAACAATAAGAATTTAAATAAACCGTAACAACACCACGCTATGCGTAATATATATTATATATATATATGCTTAAAATAGAGGAAAATAAAGAAAAATAAATTACGATTTCTTGATCTCTATAATATTATAAAAATGGTATTATAATTTAAATAGCCAAGGCAGTGATCACCTGTATATATAATATAAATGTGTAATACGAGTGTACATAAAATTATTTTATTAATAAGTTTAGTGTATAGTAGACATATTATGAATACTGAAATGAAATTGTGTATAAAATGGATCATTTAATATATCATTTTCATAAAAATTCATATGTAATATTTATACCCATACTATAATTTCAATAAAGTAATTTAAGCGGTTTGTTTCCATCAAAAAACAATCATAATATATTCAAAAACACATTTAATATTTTGCATAGGTATATTTTATACAATAACGTGTACCTATAATAAGAGTGTTTATTTTTATTGTTTATACGTATATTAGCTGAGTAGATGACAGTATATAGCCGTGTGAAAACAAATCGGTTTTGACATACACAATATATAGACCGAGAATTTCGTTTCCGTTCATTGCATTTTAATGGTACACCGCACACACAATCAATTTAAACTCATTAAAAGTCGTTATTAATTATGTTATATTAATAATAATAATGTCGTTGATTTCACTAATAAGCATATTTGCGCCATTTTAGAATTTTCGATAAGTTAACGAAGTGTAAATAATTAAAGATAACCGCATAATATTGTTGTGACGTTGAGTGTTGCAGATACTATTCTAATAACCAGTGAGGTGTCTAATGTCTATCCCCTCATCTCTAGAGCTCACACCACATACATACATAATTTTTTTCAAAGTAATATTTCAGTTAATGATTTAATTATACAGTTTAAGTAATTAAATAAAATAAAAAAAATCTAGATTTATGCATTTTTAAATTGAAAATAGTAGTTTCTGAATTATTAAATTCAATGTACTAATATACTAAGAATATGATAGTCCTTAAAAATGGTTTACAAAAATATAAAATTTGTGTAATATTAGATGTAATATGAGATTTTCAAATCATTATAATCTTCGTATCTTCCAAACTCATTGTCATAGAACTATTATTAAATATTATCCTTAGTGCACAAAAAATGTCCAAAAACTACTTGTTCAAAGTTCAATTTAGATAGTTAAAAATGAATAAATTCATAGTTGTAAGAAAAAAATGAGACTGAAAATGTTTGGTCAATCACACTAAATAAAAAACTTACGACCTAAGTTTATATGCCTAATAATTAACTAGAAGTAAAAGATTTATCTAGGTTGCTTTTAATCATACATATTATTATCACGAAGTATGATTTCATTAAATGTACGAATCACGTAAATGTGGATAACCACCATCGTGCTATAATTTAATACTTTAATAATTGTAAATTACAATATACTAGCTATTATAATGGTATGTTGGGGAAACATTTTAAATTCAAGAATGACGTGCGCAGGCGGTAATGAGTATTCGAGAGGCGATCACATTTTTTTCAAATAGTTTTAGTTGTCATACATGATCTATTGTTATTATTATTTTAAAACCTTAAGCCCTGGTAAATGACCCTCGCTCATTTTTGAACATAATAGTACCTCCTACTGGAGCACCAAGAAAAAAACTTGTTTATGTTTCTGTTTGTTATTGTAGACTTAAATCTTAATGCTTATAACATCGTATAGCTATACTAGAAATATGGTGTATAAACAGCAGCATCGGAAATGCATACAAAAAAAGTTCAAATTGCAAACTATCTTTTAGTGAGGCTGTTCGAATTGCATACTCTGTACCCACAAGTTTATTTATCATGCACTTATTTGCATAACTTAATAATGAAATTAATAAAATATTATACATGTAGAAAAGTATTCATATGCGTTGCCAATAACAAAATAAATAAAACAATACTTTTTCCATATTTCCAATATATGACGTTAAATATGACAACATAAACAATATTTTTAT